TTGCTTAACCTATCATTTTTCCGAGTCGTTACAATCTTCCTTACTCTACACTGCCCCTCGAATTATTGGCTACCTGAACCAGCATTAGATTCACTACCCGATGCTTTACTACTATCGAAACGACTTTCTCCCTCTTGGGAGGAGTGTCCTATAGAATGGCCCTCTTAGTCTGTGCTCTAGTAGCCCGAGGTGAGTGATCTTTAGGTGTGACATTTATTTGCACCTCCAAACTACTAGCTTCGTAGTCTTCATGACCCTTTGATTGAGAAGTCGTGGGGGGGGGAGGTTTGGTTTCATTCTTTCTTCGAGGAGGCATCGTACCTGAGAAACAGAACACTCATTAGTACACAACTCAGTAAAATGACACACTATCTGGTACTCAGACTTCCCCTGTGTAATTTCATCATGACGCCTTGCCTTAAGAATGTTGTCACCCAATCTATCATTGGGAAGGGCTGCGAAATCAAAAGACGACAGAAATAAAATTACAGAAAAACTAATATTTTACAAATCAAGTACACTCTACGAAATCTTTTACGGGTCGTGGTAGGTACCACGGTTCATTAAACCCTTTGTGGATTTAACACAGACTCAGTGTGCAGTAGAAGGTTGACCAAATAATGTTCATGGATAGGTAGACGGCCCGTGGATTGAACCACGGTCCATGATACTGGTCGTGAACTTACCTGATGGGTGGAAGGAATGCAAGTGTGGTCCACGATTAATTTCACGGCTCTTGGTAGCTTCCACGGTCCGTAAAACCTATCGTGGTCTTACACTTGGCCATTGTTTAAGTCATCTTGTTCCCATCAATTCAACTAACCCTCATCAATTTAGAACCAATTTAGACGAACACATTTAGCAAAAAATTATGACCTAATATGATCATTCCCACATTCAAGAAAACTCAACTTTATGCAATTTAAACTAACCCACAACAATTTAATATCAACTAAGATTAATCATCACAATAGCATGCTAATCTCAATTAATGCGAAGTAAATCTAACTTGTTTTAGACAAGATCGAACTTGCAACAAACTATGAAGTGACTTACTTGGAAATAATGGATAGTTTCGCCCACAGAGAAGAAGATGAAATTTACTTGAAAGACTTGATCAACTTAGGACTTAGGGTTTTGATTCTTTAAGGAACTACGAATTAATGGGGATAGAAACTGCTTAAAATTCTTTAGTAACCGTTATGGAGGAGAATAAGAGAAAAACCCCAACCTTTGGCGCTTTAGAAATCATATATATGATTATTTTAATTTTGGTGCCATCGCGGATCGGGTCGGGTATTGGTAAGAGTGGGTTGTGGACGACGGACCGTGAAAGTGCCCGTGAAGATCACCACGGTCCATATAGTGGCTCATGAACCTAACTTGGGAGAAAAAGATTTACATGTGGTTCACGAGAGGCTAGACGGTCCGTACACTTCATGGCGGACCATGAACCCTTCCATTAACCTTTTTCTTGCAAATTATAGTAGCACTTTTAGGTTGGTGCTAAGATTGACGGACTGCGAAAGTGCCCGTGAAGGTCACCACGATCCGTGAGACTGCCCGTGAAGAGCAGTCTGCACCCAATTCCTACACTTTTTAACCCATTTTCTCGTGCACACATCAACACCCAGTGACTCTATAAAAACAAAGAAAAATAAAGATAAAGGAAAAATACCTACTACAATTACCTCTTGGGTTGCTTCCCAAGCAGCGCACAATTAAACGTCGCGGCGCGACGCAGGTTACTTGATTACTCAGACTTCATCAAGTTTAAATTCCTCCACAATCTTCACATCCTCTGGAACACTCAAGTATTCCTTGATTAGCTGGCCATTGGATTTAAACCTCTCGCCCTTATCATTTTCCAGCTCAATAGCACCTGACTGAAACACTTGTGTTACCTTAAAAGGTCCAGACCATTTGGATCTCAACATTCCCAGAAACAGACGAAGTCTGGAGTTGAAAAGTAACACCAAGTCACGAGGAGTGAATCTTCTTTTCTCAATATGCCTGTCATGATATAGTTTCATCCTCTCCTTATACAGTGCACACCTCTCATAGGCTCCCACACAGAACTCATCCATCTCATTGATCTGATCCAACCTCAGGTTTGCAGTTTCGCTCCAACTAAGGTTCAGCTTCTTCAAATCCCCGAGTGCTTTATGCTCAAGCTCAACTGGAAAATGACATGCCTTTCCAAACACCAATTGGTATGGATGTACCAATAGGCATTTTGAAAGCTGTCTGATATGCCCATAGAGCATCATCTAACTTCTGTGCCCAATCTGTCCTGTTGGCATTCACCATTTTAGCCAGAATTGCTTTAATTTCTCTGTTGGAGACCTCCACTTGGCCACTGGTCTATGGGTGATAAGGTGTTGCTACCTTGTGTTGTTTAACTCCATATTTAGCCAGAAGAGAACTGAACACCTTATTGCAGAAATAAGACCCACTATCATTGATGATAGATCTGGGTGTGCCGAACCTTGAGAAGATTGATGAGTCCACAAATTGGACTCATTTAATGCTTTATTTTGATAGAAATACCATCCTCGAATGCTTATTTTGTCTCAATATCTCATGAAAACTCTTAAGTTTCAAGTATTTGAAGTTTTAGTGGAAGCATGGCCACTTAGGCGCACAAAGGAACAAAAAGGCTGAAAAGAACGAAGAAGTTGAAGCATGAGCATTGCCAAGAACCTTTGGTGATTCACCGAAAGGACAGACTTCGCCCTTTGTTCCAGTATGCGAAGCCCTGAAGGAAGAGGATCAAAAAGGCGATGAAAGGAGCAGTCGGCGCTTCGCCGAATAGTCCCGCGAAGCAGTACTATACCGCTCAATGGTCCAGAACATGAATATTCTATAGCAAAGTACTCAACGGCGATGGGAAAGAAGAAGGGCGAGTCACCGAGTCATTCGGCAGACTCGACTAACTTCGCCGAACTATCCGCCTGCACTAATTTATGATGGCTATAAATACTGAACTCTCTATCAATTTTACGACTTCCGAACCATTATTTTTATTTTCATAATAGAATAGTACATTTTTAGATATTTTTCTCTCAAGTTTAGAGAGGGTTTTGTGGGAGACTTGAAGAGAGAAGGATTTCTTATTCCCTAGGTTGGAAGTGGGTCTTCTCCATTCTTCTTCCTTTGCTTAAATCAAGGTTCAATTTCTTATACACATTTTATTTTAGTATCATTTTAGGTGTATTTTGTTATTTCTTGATGTGTGGCTTAAAATCCCCATTCTTAGGGTGTGATTTAGCAAATATGTGTTGATTTTGTTGTTGGGTCTTGCCTGCTGATAGGCTAGATGTATTTTAATGGTGATTTCACCTAGTGGTTGTGGTTTAATTTAATGGGTTTGTAGTTGCAAATACAAAACTACCCATGTGTTTTCGGCTTGCCCGAGAGGGAGGTCACGAAACCAAGACCACTAGACTGATGGCCTAAGGAGTGGGTCGACATAAGGTTCAGCCCGAGAGGGTGAGCCCTAGTCCCATATCCTAAAACTCAGCTCAAGAGAGTGAGTGGGGTAAGGCATAGGGTGGTCTTCATGCGGCGAATTGGTGTTCGAGAGGAACCCATTTGAAACGGGGTAAGTTGCCCGAGAGGGAACTTATTTCTATCTAAAGCTTAGCCTAGTCACTATTATCTTGCAAATTTCCTATTCAAAGCATGTACCCAACGATTTATCTCAACTTCTATTGCGGTCACACCCCAAGAACATTTTCCCGTACTTGATTTTCTTGTTAATTTTTGCTATTTTTACTACTTGTGACAAAACCCCGAATCGATATTTGACACTTTTGTGTCGCTCCCTTTAATTTACCATGTTTTTGTTCGTTAATGTATTTAGCTACGACTAGTTAGAGCTTAATTTTTATTTTTTCTATCAATTCTCAAAACCACTCCCTTGGGACACAACCCCAACCTTTAGTTGGGTTACTATACTATGGATGATTGTAGACACTCATATCGTAGGTTAGTGTCGTTGGTCACGATAAGCATAAAAATGGCGCCGCTGTCGGGGATTGGTGTTATTTGAGAATTTTTAGATTAGTAGAATTTTTTGTTCTTCTTAGTTGTAATTTACTAACTTTACGTTTAGTTTTGCTTTTCGTTGAGTTGTCCATTTAAGTGAGCATGGCTGAGCAGAGTAGTGGCAAATTGGTCGAAATAAACCAAGGAGTCCAATAGGACCTCATGCTGATCGAACTGGCATCTCAGCTAAAAGACTTAGCCACCAAAATCTCAGACGTAGAAGTCCAATGCAATAGCAGGGGGAGGTACACACCCCCTTATGAGCAGAGGAACTCTAGAAATGGGGAGAAAAATCCTGTTGAGGATACACTTCAAATCATTCTCCAAAAGATCACCGATCAAGATCGGGTGTTGGAAGAAATGAAGAATAATGTTGAAGTGTTGAATCAAATGATTGGATCTCACTCTAGATCAATCCAGTTGATCAGGTCATTCCTGAGTTTTGCAGTACCTCATCTCCACCCAAATGACATATTGGGGTCACCTAGTGACACTGGGGCTAACCCCAATAACGGAGAGTGAGATAGAACTTACATCGTGCCACGACGTAAATTAAGGCGCTTCTTGGGAGGCAACCCAAGGTTTTACTACTTTTAATTATTCTGTTCGAATAATGGTGTGCTGATTTTGTAGGGTAAAATGAGAAAGGTGTTGAGAAGTGCAGGTTGGCGAGCCAAGTACCTAGTGGGCGAGTCACTGAATCTATCGGTGACTCTGACTTAATCCGCCGTTAGGACCCCAAAATAAGGGATGTCCTGTAAAACTCAGCGAGGTAAGTATGCGTTCGGTGCGTCGCCGATTTTATCGACGATAAGACTAATGTCACCGAATGACAGAGAAGTGAACGGTTAAATAAGGCAGAAAGTCAAAATGTTTGAATCTCTCATTTTCCCTCGTCTCAAACTCCTCAAAATCAAACCAAAGGTACTTTTTCTTAGATTTTTACCTTTCCATTAGTATTTCAATTAGTAAATAGTTCTTGGGGTTGGATCTCTTTCCTGCCTAGCGTTTCAAAAAGCAATTTGATTGGCATTAATGGTTAGCCCATAAAACCCCGAATTTATCTTAAAAGTTTTTTGCTCTCTTTTGCAATTGTAGTATCAAGATGACATGTGTTGGGCTGGGCCTCTTTGGTAGAAATAAGTTGATATGCTCTATGTAATCCATACTTAGTTGCCTGAAATATTTTAATAGTCGAATGCCTTATTGTTTGTGCTTTAATTTGATTGCAATGGAAATGGGTCCCGCTTGATTGTCATTGTATTATTTGGGTAACACCTAAAGAGCCCACATTTGTGCTAAATAACAAAAGTTGCTCAATGAAGGAATGGGTGATGACATTCTTAAGGGTGATCATAGTTAAATGGCTAAAATTTGGCAGGACAGGAAGAAGTCTGAGAATTCTGGAATGATGGAAAGTATGGGTCTTGTGTGAATTTCGTGTCTGCATGCTTTAATTGCGTTTTCAGTGCATGTAAGGTCGATTCTAAGACGTGGGTTGAAAAATAGGCACGGTGAATCATTTGGCGAGCTGGGTCATGCTTGCCAAATGATTCAGCGGTTCGCCTACTAACCTTAGATCGCCCTTCATTCATGTCCATAGTACTAAGAGATCTGTAACTTTCGGCGAACACATCTGTGGTCGCCGAAGGTAGTCGGCGTCTCGCCATATAGACTTTTTCATCACTTATTTACCTAGATTTCAAACTAATCCCTTCGGCAAGTTTGACCTAGCTCACTAAAGAGGTTCGACAATTCGCCAACTGATCGGCCAACCCTTCTGCTTTAGATTTTTGATGTTTTAGTTTGATTGTTCTTCTTACTAATCACAAACTTTTGAGATATGGTACGCACAAACCTAAACGCACCACCTCAGAAAAAGGCAACGGGAATTACAATCAATGAAGGAGGATCACGACCTTCATAAAAAAAGAAAGCAAGATCTCCTACCAGGAGATAAAGGTAAACGAAAAAAGCACATCGTTAGGAAGGGCACAAATGTTGAACCAGCTATTTTTTAGACGGAGGATGAGCAACCTTTGTTAAATCGAAGGGAGGAGCTTAGGGCTAGAAATCAGCCATTTGCTACCGGAACCCGTTCAACTGCCACTCCCCTGACTATCGAATCAGTGCCAACTCCAACACCACCTCCAGCGGCTCCTGCACTCCCTGTAGCTCCACCTTCACCTAGGTTGCTGAACAGACTAAAAGGTGATGCTTTACGAACCATTCTAGAAGAAAAGTTACTATATGTAGAGGGTTTGGAAGGTAAGCATGCTGAGGTGCTTGACACGCTCAGATATCATGAGTTCGAACAGTTCACCGGGCCGCGGGGCTCTTACATTCCTTCTTGGGTCCGGGAATTCTACTTAGCCTATGGGGAGTTGGTACCCAAAAAAAAAAAAAGGCTAGTGAGTTCTGACCAGTGAAGTCGGTTCTGGTTAGAGGCAAGGAGGTGGAGTGTCACAACGAGCATATTAATGTTATATTAGGTCGACCGCTGCACTCGGTACTACCCTACCAGGTATTGTCTATTGTTTCATCCCTAGATGATCTGAAGGGTTGGTTAGCTCCGATGATTTCTGACATCACCCCGAGGTGGTTGGATGCGGGAGCTCATATTGAGAAGAAGGATATGAACATCGCCTCCTGGTACTGGTTTGGCTTCATCAGCAAGACTATCATTCCATCCCAGAATGAGTCCATTATGCGTCATCCTAAGGCAGCTTGTCTTGGTTCTATCATCGACAGGAGGCGGATCGACCTGGGACTGATGGTTTCACAAGAGATGGATTTGAGAGCCAAACAGACACATACATCCCTGCCATTTCCTGTTCTGATTACTGAGTTGTGCTGGCATGCTGGAGTACCCCGAGACACTGCTAGAGATATAGAAGTCACTCCATCTTCTTCCACTGATATCCGGCGTATAGAGGCAGAATTTACACGAGAGAAGGATGATAGGAGAAGAGAAGCCCTAGCAGATACTTCTCCAGAGGTCAATGTTGACTCATTATCAGTAGAGACACATTCGTCTACCCCGGCCTCTGAGCCCTCAGGTATACCAACTCCTTCTTCTTCTTCCTCACAGGCTCCAGGTGCTTCCTCAACCTCCCAGCCTGCCAGAATCACTCAGGCCATGATCCTAAAGATGGGGCAGTTCACCTATTCAGTTGATGTGAGAGCTACCTGACTGGAAAGGTCTGTTCCAGAGATGATTGACAGGGCCATAGCAGCACTTACTCCCATTCAGACTTCTG